CCAAGGCCTCTAGCTTTTCGGCTCTTGATTTTTCTTGCAGAATATTTTCTTTTTCTTTCTCTGCTTTTATTTTAGCCTTTTCTGCTTTTTTATGAGCCTTTCATTGGCTTCTTCTTCTTGTAGTGCGTTTAGGTTTTTGAGTTCCTGTCTAAGTTTCTCCAATGCTGCTTTTTCACCTATGATTGGACTAGTATGCGAATGTGGAATATGACCTAGTAATGTGTGTCACGAGAAATTGAGCGCGTTCACTTAAACCTTTTCTGCCAAGCATTCAAACAATGAACCAAAGTCAAAATGACTGTTTTACTTTTTTTTTTCCTTTTAATACGAATCCACTTTAAGCAAGTTTGTTGATGAAGAATGTCAAAAAATTCACGAACAATCATTAATGGAATGTCATGATTTGTGTTGACTTCAACAAGGTAATCATCTAAGGATTTTACTTTAAACGAATTGTTTTCAAAAAAGGTAGAAGAGAAAGAGAAGGAAGTTGCATTGAAAGTGCGCATCAAATTTTAAGAAATATTAATCGACCCGAACATAATATACCTCACTATAGTATTTGTTGATCATTTAGATTACAACAGAGATCAATATCGTGTTTTTTTTATGATTCTCATATTGCTTATCTTTAAAGGATAATATATTACTATTTGTTTTAAAATAATGATGGCCTCCATATGTAAAATGCAAGAAATAATTAACTCATTTTCTCGTTTTTTATCATTCATTATTTTCTCCCTTTTTTTTAAACACACACTCTCTTTTTTTTTTTTTTTTAAGAACGATATTTCCTTTTTTTCGTTCTATTTCTCTTTTTTTTTTGTGAGGCAATCATCCCAAGTAGAGTTCTCGGGATTTTCTTTTTAAACCATAGAAGAGGTAAATAAATTATACTTTTAAATCAAGGTTGACCAATTACAACTATAAAATTCATGAACACGAAAATAAGCACGTTTAAGAATAAACATATTGATGACGTCCTATTAAAGGTTGCGAAAACGAATCAACATAATAAAAAATATTTCTCCGTATGATATTGCTCGTAACAAGTCAAATTCAACGTTGAACAATGGGCGCGCGCAAGACATAGAGTTGCGAGCAGATGCCGCACGCAACTTCTGAACTTGCGCTTGGAGGGCGTGCGCAACTTCGCCAGTTGCGCGTGCCACCTGGTAGGTTTAACATTTTTTTTTTGTCAAACCATAATTTTGCAAATTTTTTTTAATATATCTCTAGGTAACAATTTGGAATTAGTTAGATTAGACACGAAGCACATATTCATATAGTCACATAAGCACATAAAAGGAACCATCAAAGCATACAATGTCATTCTAAGGTCAAGGCTTTGGTGTCCAAGGGTACCATATCTTATGAAACGATGCACAAATCAATCACTCGACGTGTTGACTCATGACATCGCCCTCTCAACATTTTGTTGACGATATTGGTGGGATGATTGTTATTGATTTCGGGATAGAAGCCTAGTGTTGGCAACCCCTAGTCAATGAGCCAATCCCCAATGGTTAAACTGTGCTATGATTATGCATGATACAATGTTGCTTGTTTGATTTTTACGTTTGTGAAAAAGGAAATATTATGCGCTCACGTCTCGCTCTCGAACTAGAGATTATCTAAGTTAGCTCTCATTACAAGACATAAGCAACCTAGTGTTGGAAACCTTGAACCATAATTACGAACTAATCTTGTAACCTCTAAGTCCCCACTGGATTCGCCACTGTAAGTAGGGTTATCCCATCGTAAGTGGGTCCTTCCTTAGATGCTCATGGCCGCTTAAAAGCCTAGGACTTTACACTTGTTAAGGTGTAGTAGAATTTGAATTCTTGACTGTTTGGGGGACCTTGAATTAGAATTGATTTAGTCATCACTCTTTTTTTATAAGAAACAAGTAGGGAGTCACCAATGAGTTTTAGGAAAACTCATAAGCCTCATTCATGCCTTTCTCCCATGTGGAGTTCATGGGATAATTAGCATGAATCGTAAGGTTACCCATGCAAAAATTGGTCTACATAAACCAGAAATGAGTTCGGGAGCTAGGGTACTAAAATAACGTTCCTTTTAGGGAGGAATCGCTATTCTAGCCCTAGTGCGGCCTGTACTAGCTCTGCCTTTTTAAAAATTTCATCACCAAACAATATATGCAACGCGATACCTAAAACTAAGTTTGTTGATTTTATTTACACGCATTAATCACGTAGGAATTACATTGCAAAAGTCATTATTTTTTTTAATCAATATTCGTGAAAGAACAATAAAAAAACAATGTTCGCCTCATCTTAAGTGATAAAACAACAATTAATTATTCAAATTCTATTCTTGATTAACGAAAGAGTACTATGTGAATTAATTAATTAAAATTTTGTTTAAAGTGATCAAATAACAATATTTATTCAATTAAAGTTATTTAAACAATAAAGGAAAAGTGATTTATCAAAGTGCTCAAGAAATTAACTGTTCTTTTATGTTAAATCTCCGTTTAATGTGTTTACGGACTTTCTTTCTTGTTTGTACCTCTAAGGACTTCAATGGATTCAATTAGGGTTGGAAAGTATTAGGGAAGAGAGAAGAAAAAGTAGTATGATAGTAATAGAAGTTGAGAGATTAGGGTTTTGAGAATACTAGGGTTTTAATTCTGAATTTTCCGGTCCCCGTAATGCTGAACGAAGACCCCTATTTATAGGCATAGGGATCTAGGTTTAGGGTTTTAGAGTCACGCCATCAGGTGACGTGCGTAACTCTTTGAGTCACACTGGATTTCGCGCGCATCTCAAAGAGTTGCGTGCGCCAGTTGCGCGCAACTTACTGAGTTGCGCTGTTTGCGGTTTGCCTTATACGAAAACGTGTTTTTAAAACTTCCATAACTTTTGGTTGCGGAGTAGTATTAAGGCGTGTGATATATTATTGGAAAGATCTAAATATCTACTTTCCAATGCCATTAGAATTAGGTTAAAATATTTTATGGATAAAAAGTTATGGCCATTAGAGTTTATGGGTGTTGGTTTTAGGGCCTGATTTAGTGTTTTGATCATAACTTCTTTGTTTTGGCTTCGGAATTGAGCATATAATATACCGTTGGTAATCTCTTTGAATGGGCTATCCATCTGTATAGGCCTTGCATGGGAATTTGATAGTTAGTTCATCTGTTTGGTTCAGATTTTCAACAATGTAGATTCCATTGGATCCAATCATTGCATTTGACACATTTGTATCCGTTATTAATTAAGTTTAAACATGTATGAACATTTTTTTTGGACTAATTAGTAATCCGACAAAGCTCTAAGATAAATTGGTCTCAAATATGGGTTTTAGCTTACTTCATAATGCTTTTCATGTCCATAAACACTTCAACTTTGATCTAGCATGAAGAACGGGTTTTTGTAACATCATCGCACTTCCTTTCGAGACAAGAGGCAAAAAGTAGGTGTCTACAACCGGTGAGGGGTGTTCTCATTCTACCTTTTACCATAGTGCGGAGTGATATTACCATGGTTGCCCCCCTTCTTATGTGCTTTATATGATGTTTCTCTGTTTCCTATTTGTCTTTCGATTTAGAGTTAGGGGGGTAGTCCATTTTTAGCTTGGGGGTGCTTTATGTCGTTTGTTTCTATGCTTCACCGTTTTCCCCCTCGCTTTTGTAGTTTATTCCTAGTCTCATATGCTTCTGGTATTGATCACTAGTGTCTTTTGGTTTTATGATGATGATGTTGTACTTCTGCTGATTTCTTTGCCCAGTTATTGGTTTTATTTTTTGTTTTGTTGATTGCTGTCTGCTGATTTTCTCTGTTTCTCTATTATGATGATGATTTTTTTATACCCTGTCTTTTAATACTGCTTCAGTCTTATGATTCTGCTTCCTATACTCATTTGATTCTATTCTTGTTGCTATTATTACTTGCTTTTTCTTTATTTTCTTGCACTTTTTTTTTGTCTTTTATTCTTTACTTTTATATTGAAGTTACTAACAATTTTCTTTGTATATAGTTTTTTTATTTCTCACTTTGCTCTATTGCTTATACTTTGGATTTTGACGATTCGTAAAGGTGCTCTTTTGCCTTGTTTAATGTAGCATAGCTTTGGCGCCCGGTGAGATCTTTCTATTTCTCTTCTTTTTCTTTTCTTGGTTTCTTAGTCTAGGATTAGTTCTAGGAGAAGTTGAATGGTTTGAGGTTCTTTGGTTTTTAAACACCCTAGTGGGTTTAGGAACATTGGCGTTGTGGCCGAATGTTCACATGTTTGTTGATTGGGATTTATGTGTGTTAGCATTACTTCCTTGTTGCTTTCTACTTCTCATTTACTTTTCTATTTTTCACTTAATTTCCCTTTCTTCTTTTTCTTTTTCTTTTGGTTTTCTTCTTCCTACATGTTTTCCTTTTCTCTTTTTCTTATTCGTTTCTTTTTATCCCTGGCTCTCTTTATTTTGATTTTTAGTCCTTTTTGTTACTCTTTCTCTTTAAAAAAATAAAAAATAAAATAAAATAAAATAAACATATATATATGTGTGTGTGTATATATATATATATATATATATATATATATATATATATATATATATATATATATATATATATTCCATTAAAAAATAAACAAACAAAATTTGTTTTTGTGAATATAAATAAATTGTTTTTGAGGCATTGCTTTTCTTTCTTCATCTTTTATCTTTTACTTTGGACTTAGTACCACTTGAACTTGCACATTGGCTATTTTTCTTCCTAAAAATAATGGTTTGCACGGTTTGAGAGTATCATTGGTTTACTCTAGGATAGTGTATGCTAAGGTAGCTGTTTAGACCTTTTGGGACCTTAAAGCCGGATCCTTTTGGTTTGTGGTAAGACGGAGTTGCTTCCTTTGGTTGATTTGCACTACACCGAAAACTAGATTAGAGATTGCAAAATATACGGTTATCAGAGGTAGGTGTTCTCCAAAAGAATATAGATTGTTTTAATATAAGAGGCGTTCTGTATGTTAATACATATGAAACGGTTAGCATAGTTAACCGTTCTATATTTCTTTTTACTCAAATAATTAAAAAAAATAATTATGTATTATAAAAGATATTAAACGGTCATCTTGACAACCGTTTTGTATTATATTATTTTTTTAATTAGGAGGAAATTACATACGGAGTAATAATTTACCCAAATTATCAAATTAAAGTGGATAAAAGTGAAAATTGAAGGCATTGAAGCCCGCATCACTTACACTTTCATGAATTTCATCAAAAAGTGAAACCTTTTTCTCATTCATCATAAAAAAAAAAAAGTGAAACCTCCATCAAACCTCCATAGCAAAACCTTCATCATCCGCTTATTGTTCAGCTCCACCGCCGCTCTACCGCTGCTCCACCATCGCTCTACCGCCGCTCCACTTCTGCTGTACCGGACCTGTCTGCTGAGCCACCAGTAAATTGAGGTTCGAATTTTTCTTGTGATATAGTAATTGGATTTTGATAATTGTTAATCTAATTGCATGAGTCATTCAAATTATGTAGGAAACAGAAGTAAATTCGTAGAATTCGAATTTTAGGTGATTGAAAAAAACATCAAAGTTCTTGTTTTAGGGATAAATTCATCGATTGTTTGTATGTATATATTTAAGCCGAATTACTGCATTTAGTTCAATCAAATTATGCTCAATTTTGTCGAATTTACTTTTATTTCAATTGTAATCAAAATTATTTTTGCCAAATTAATCTTACCTAAGTTCAATTTAGAACCCTAATCAGATTTTTTTTTAAAAAAGGAACAAAGAGATAGGACTTAAAACAGTGAAATAAAAATACAATTTTTGGTTTTGGTTTAGTGGTGGTAATATATGTTGTTGGTAGAATTGATGAGGATATGGTTGAGCCCATTTTGTGAATAAGGTTTGTTTGAAAACAAAATGTTGGGGTTTTTGTGTTTACATCTCCTTTTGAATATGATTTAGAGTCTACATAGACTTGCTATTTTACCTCTTCTTTGGCTGAATATTCATCTGCATTTAAGGTCAGACAAAATTGAATATAGAGTTTGATGCCTAATGGAACATAAAATGGTGAGTAGAAAGCAAAACAAAGAAGGGGTTATAGTCTAAATATTCTACTTGAACTACCCTATGACAAGAAAAAAAAATTCAAAGAAGGAGTTGTAGTGCTAATTAAGCTAGTTTACATCGACATTTCGAGTGTATTTTGATCAACTAGATAATTATCAACTACTACTATTGACATTGGGATATAATTCTTCATTATCTTCAACGGTTATATATGAGCTACTTTTTGTTGTAGAAAAATTTTGTCAGTGAATTACTGAAATGTACTAGTATGTTCTATTGTCCAAGTAGTAGCAATTAAGGTGTTTTTTTTTCTTGACTAAACTGGTACAAAGCTGGAAACTACTGTATTTCTGAAACAATAAAACTCAGTACTATGTTGTCTTGCTTTTAATTTTCTCAATAAATTATATTTGTAACATTCTATTTTATGAACTTCAGATACGGTACGGGTACAATTAGTAGGTGTGTTCTGGTTTACAAGTAAATGTACCAATTTGTATTATAATTTGCTTATCAAACTAATAAAGTAATTAGTTGATCATCTTTTTTATTGCTAAACTTACTAGTTGCTGATTGAGACATTCGAAGAATCCTTTTAGTCTGCAGATGGTCCAAGTTTAGCTTTAGATTTTAGCACCTAAGCTAGCAATAAACAAACTGAACCCCAAATGCCCTACATTGCCCCTACCCCTACCCCTGGGTTTTCCCGTGTCGTACATTTTCACATATCTTCTATATAATGCTTACCCGTCGTAGTTAATTTTCATGGGAGAATATTTTGCACTCTTCTATTTCCATCTGTTTAGACGAATCATTAGATTAATTAAGAGTATTATCTTGGCTTATTATCCATTTGAGCAAGGTGTTACAGTCTTAAGGAGACAAAATAATAATGTCGGATAGTAGAGTAAGTACAAGTACATAATAGGAGTACCTGTGAAATAATCTCTCGCAAATTGATGCAAGCATTGTAGTCTTGACTAGATTCTTGTTGCTATTAATAGGAACGAAAGATGCTGCTACTTCCTCTTCTGTTCTTCAGTTGTTGAAGTTGTTCTATTTAATTGAATTTTTAACTACTTTATATCTGTTTTAAGTAATTATCTTAATTAAACTATCGAATTAATTAATTTCCCTGCAACTTGTTCTATAGAATAGGTAGGAAGGTTTTTACTCTACTGTTTTGAGTTGTCAGTCGTGTTTTTTAATTCTTTTATCAATAATTTCTTACTTGTATTTTTTATTTCTGATAACTTTTTCCTAAATGTTCGTTTGTTTTTAAGTAGTGTATTTACTCTTGAATGGAGGAAGTTCGGAGATATGCATGAATTAATTGCACTAGGTTATGGAAATCTATTGTGCTACAGGTGTACTATATATTTATATGACATGGATGGGTTGATTATAGGTCATATAAAGTTTATGATTCTAGAAAAATCTGTCAATAGTTCTAATGTGATTCATGTGGTTTGTGGGTGGGTAATGACTTTAAAGAATAGTAAATGTTCGAGGTGAAAGTCAGGTGGTTCAAATCGAGTCATATTCAGGTGATGAATCTTGAACTAAATATTCAATGGAACATAAAATGGTAAGTAGAAAGCAAAATAAAGAAGGGATTATAGACTATATATTCTAGTTGAACTACTCTAACAAGAATAATTTTCAAAGAAAGGGTTTAGTCATGCTGGTTAATAACCATTTGTATTTGCTGATCCCCTCGATCGATCATTGCTCTCTATGAATTCCGTTCTCTGAGAAAAATATGTGTTGTAGCTTTTACTAATTATTTATAAATCATAATGTTATAAATTCATGGCTTAGCTAGTAAATTAGAGTATATTAGTAAGTGTAGACACCTAAAAATGTCTCCCCAAAATCAAACTCGATGATGAACAACCTTTCACAACCATTATTAGTCGGGTTGATTATTTAATCTTGGAGTGCTTAAATCCATATTTTCATTTCATAAACCAACCCAAATTCTAGCTCATTTCCCCAAACCATAACTTATTTTCCTCTTCTCGTGTCTTTAAACCCAAAATAATTCATTTCATGTCCTTTAAAATCATTCATTTCGTGTCTTTTTTATAAAAATGTTTAATCCTGTTTATTTTGGTCCATAGTCTGGGTTTAATGATTTAATAATTGGATGGGGTTTGAAAAGTGTTTTCTAACGATATATTATTAGCCCAAATCCGAGTTATAAAGAATAAGTTATGGCCAAAATATTAAGTCGAACCCAAACCGAACCTAAGCCCACCTTACCTACGACCCAATTATCATGTGGAGGGTCCAAATTATTTAATCCCATTACTAAACCAATTAGGATTAATTAGAAAATTCTATAAGTTTTTATAAGATCTTAATTATCCTTTTTGAAAAGATAAGATTAAAGAGTTTGAAATTGAATAAAACTTTTCTTTTTGAAAATCCTATTTCTATCCGATTTGAAAGACGTTCAAAGATAGACAGATATTATTTTCTTGCGTCATAGTTTTAATCCAAATTTTATATGGTTGGATAGCACTTGAAATTATCTTTCCAATGATATTTTATAATATCAATTCCAAGTTATAACGGAAAAGATATGAATAAAATGTCAAAATCTATCCAAAACTGACACCGTCTCACTATTTCGTCTATATCTTTTATTCTACAACATATTTTAATCTGATTCCAATTAAGTTAGAAAGTAGACTTCAAACGATTTCCAACGATATATTATTTATGTTATTCCAATATCTGGATCAAAATATATGATAAAAACAAAAACCGCAAAAACTACTGTCTATTGCAAGAGTATTATCCGATTTGAATTCTTAACTTTCCTTGATTCTTAGACCTTCTTTTATTCTTATAAATAGAGGTCATATCTCCCCTTTTTCAATCATCAACAAGTATTATAATCAAATCCTTCTATCTTTTAAACCAAAAATCATTCTCTTCTCTTTCTTTCATATTCTAAGTCTCAAACCTATATTCCTAATTACATCATTCTTCCCATAAGCACTCCAAGGAGTCTATACTAAACCTGAGGTTCCGTCCTTGAACCAAGGCATAAAAGGTATAAATAACTGAGGGTTTGGACCAAATTAAATCTATATTTATTTAATTTAATTTCTATTTGATTTATATTTTTTATTGAAGTTACTAACAATTTATTCATGATGTAGCAATTTAAAGGAACGCGCGGAATGTGAGTAATTAACTAATTTAATTACTCTTATTTAATTTTAATATTGATAGTATCATGATTAGGGTTATTTTATATTTGATTTGACTAACGCTAATATTGTTGAATTGCTTCCAATATTAATTTTTATTCTATTTTTTTTTTGTTATGATCACCATATTGCATGTTTAAAGGAAAAATGTAATTGAAAATCACGCCTAATAAGATAATTTTGGACGACCGGTTTAGGTTCCTTTTTAATCTTATTGTTTAATCAAGTGATCACAAATATTTTAGAATATATGTTGCATTAATATTCAACCAATTTAGCATAATAATAGTTTGGAGCAAATTGAATCTTTGTTTGCATGCCTTTGAGATCGCAGAAATGCTTTTCATATAAGAATCGAGTAGAGACCAATACGGGCGAATGTGACTCCATGATTCACTTCGCACCATCATCCCCGATTCTTCTTTCGTGGTTCCGAACCATATGGAGTTAGTAATCTCATGGATTATGAATGGGGTGTAACCTTCACGGGTCAATCGTTGTTGCCTATCGTTGTCCCTTATCGTGGTTGCCTTTTTATGCTCCGTAAACGGTTTACAAGTTCCTTAAAAATTTGTTGGCGGCTCCCTACTTTGCTTTGTCCCTAATCGTTGTCCCTAATCGTAAGTTCAATTCCCACTTCCTATGAGTGCCAAGCATATTCACACATGCTTTAACGTAGGCGCACTTCGAGCGACGCCTACAGTAAGTATTAGCATGAATATATTATGGTTTATTCGAATATAATGTATCTCTAATGTACAATGGTTCCACCTGGCATTTCACTAGAATTTATCCTTGTGATTATAAAGCCTGAATATTGGATCACCTTTTTTTGTTTATAAAGCAGGTCATTATTTCTTAGGCCTCGCTCTTTTAACCTGAATTCTCCATGTTTAAACGTATGTTTGAATGTATCTAATGAGAATGAACTAGTTTGTTACCTTCAACTCATAAGCTTCTGGACAGTTTTGTATCGGATTATGGTTGATTAACAACTCATAAGCTTCTGGACAGTTGTGGTTTGCAGAAGATGTTGGAGGTGACTGTTGTGGTTTTTGTCTAAATTGGCTTGTCACCTCCTTGTGATATAGATGGTTTCTGTGGCAGTGAAGGAGATGGAGATGGCTTAGGCTGTGCTGGCGCCACTTCTGCTGGATGGAAAGGGGGCCGCTGTGCAGGTGGTTGAGATGGTACTTAGGTCTCTTGGCTGGGACGTGGAGTAACAGGTGCTTGCTGAGGTTGTAATTGTTTGAGCTGGTGCTTGGGCCACTTTGCTGGAACTGTGTACTAATATCTGCTTGCTACGTTTTGTCAAAAAAGAAAAACGATATACTTATTTATATTTATTTAGATGAACTTATTTTATATTATTAACTAATATGTATATATTTTACATTGTTTTGTAGTATTTTAAGCAAGTTCCTCCTACATATTCTTAACAAATGATAGAGGAGCTTAGGGAAAGGTGGATTGCATATGTAACCGGAAACCATCAACCAAATGACAACTACGATGATTTATGTGAATTGTAGATCAATATGGTATTGGTATATCTAAGCATAATTTTTTATTAAATCAACATTAATTAAAAAGGTGTTTTGATATTTAACTCACGTATTTGTTTGTATTAAAAAAAAAAATTTGTATGAATGATTCAATTTAATTGTGGCTGGATGTTTTAATTTTATATATGAGGTATATTTTGATTGCTTTTGTCGTATCTAGAAATATTTTTGATAATTTATATTATACAAAAATTTATATTGCATGTATACAGGATCATGGATTTATTTTACATCGGAAATGTGGAATTTTTCTTGCAAGATAAATGTACAAGATAAAATACAAGAACACATACAACAAATACAGGTTTAAAATGAAATACAAAAAATGCAGATTATAAAATACAGGAATAATACAATTAAAATACATACAAGGTTAATTCGAATAATCAAATACATATGGTCGGATTTTTTTTTTTAAAAAAAACATTAAAGAACTGTTATCTAACTTAACCGTTCTCTATTGTAATGCAATATAGAACGGTTAAGTAGCTAAACCGTTCTCTTTTCCTTCCTTAGTGTACGAATTTAAGAAGGGAAAAGAGAACTGTTGTGACTAACAACCGTTCTCTATTTGTCAATATATAAAACGCCTTAACGACCCATTCTCTATACTTTATACATCGCTTAGCAGAAGAACGCCCCTAAGGCGATCTATAAAGCCTATTCTAACAGTTCTCTATGGATTTTTTTGTAGTAGTGTTGACAACTTAAGTAAGTTTTTGCTACAACCGTGTGAGGATTTTTCTTTTTCAAGCCTTCATCATATTTTGATTGTGCGGGGTGGATCCTTGACCTTTGCATACCTAATCTTGAATCTTGACTCATAATTCTCAAACACAAGACTGAACCGACTAGGAAGGATAAAGGCAACTTTTCGAGGTGGTAATTTTTCAGTTTTAGGATTTTTCTTCTTTCTTTTTAGTTCATTTGGGTTTACTGTCTTCTTGATAACCATTTGAGCCTTTCCCCTTCTTTTCAAGACACATCTTTAGAACTTTGAGCCTTTTGTTTCTTTTTGTTCCATTTAACGTTTTTGTGGAGCAAATGGTCATGTTTTTGGAGTTTGTGGTATATAAGGGTGGATATAGGTTCTATTTGTAAGCAAGCTTGTCTTTTGTATATATTGTGAATAATAGCAAATGAATGATGAAAAAGCCGTCCAAAGTCAAAAGAGGCAAGGACATAATAAATGCAAAATTAAAAGAGCCATCCAAAGTTATAAGTGGCGAGGACATTTGCTTTGAATATATACAAAAAAAAAGGTGAAAATGTAAAAATGCAAAAATATTTTGATGTGATTCTTTTCCCTTTCAAGCAATGAGGACAATGCTTCCTTTTAGCTTGGGGGTGAAGCGTTTACGCTTTTTGTATATATACTTGTGGATATAGCTTTGAATAAGCTTGGGGATATTAGTTTGTGTTTGTTTGGTGACTTCTTAGTTTTGGTGTCGAGGTTTGGCCAATCTTTGCTTCATAACCTTTAAATTTTAGGCCTACCCCTAACCTTTTGCCCTTACGTTACAACCTTTGGGAAAGTCCTTTCGACCTAGTGGTTGAGTCATAACCGAGGGAGGGCATTATGAGTTAAAGCCTAAGGAAAAGGGATGCAAGGTAAAGATGTCGAGAACCCTCAAATATTATTCTTTTCCGGTTCCTTCGAGGAACCATAGTGACGCTTACTAATGGAAGATTTGAAGCCAAGGGGAGAACGCGATTAGATTGGATGGGATGAAAGTGGATTGTGCCTCATTAGTTTTCTACGCTTAGCATATCCTTTGTTTTAATCAACCCTTGAATTCTTAGAACGTGCTTACCGTTAGAAAGTTTGATATCATTTGTGTTTTGATCATGTGCAAAAGTCCATTGTGTAAGCATTTCTTTTCCTTCCAGGTTTTAAACTTTCTCTTTTCTTTTCTTATGCTTTTCCTCCATTTTATTAAAAAGAGTTATAGGTTAACCTCTTTGGAAACAGTTACGAGAGCATCACTCGTCCTCTAGGGCGATCTAGGGGTTTAAATGGCTTGTCTTTAGTTGCTAAAATTGACCGTGATTCCTACGAAAGTAAATTAGTGAATATTCCTATCTTTTCTAGTTTTCTTGTTTCTTTCTTTGCTTGAATAATGTCATCATTTTCCCTTAGGTTTGATCGAAAAAAATTTTAGATTGGGGGAATTTGATGAGCGTCATTTATGGCGCTCAAAAGAATAAGATTTAGGTTCATTTTCTTTCATCATTCTCATATAATTTTCTTAGCTTTATTTGATTTTCCATTTTCAAAATTCACTGTGATTCTCGATTAGATTTTACGAGCTTTTCATATTTTTAGTTGATAATTCATAGTTTTAGTTTTAGTATTATTTTTGTTATGCTTTCTCTCTTTTTTTTATTTGTCTTTTGTAAGTGGATAATCTAGTCAATTTGCTCATTTTGGGGCTGCCTTGCTTGCAGGCATCATCTCGAGTGCATTGGTGATGGGGATGCTCGGGAGCGCGGAGTTCGATCAAGCAAAGCGAAGGGGCCAAGGCCTCGTGCACCACACAGGGGTGCGCGCGCGCAGCACAAGGGTGCGTGCGCGCAGACGCTGTTATGCGCGCGCGCGGCTAGTGGTGCGTTCGCACAACCCTGTGCAGCCCCTGCGCTTGATTTTTCTATTTATAGCTTTTAACTTTTTTTTAGGACAACCTAACTTTTGTACTTCAGATATAATTTTCCAGAAATAGTAGAGAGAGAAAGTAGAGAGAGAAGCTTAAGATTTGCTTGTTTGTACTTGAATTTGATCTTAGATTTCAATTGGAACATGAAATTCCTTCTTCAATTCAATGAAAGTTTGTAAGATTTCTTTCCTTTGATTTATTTTTAATGCAATTCCTTCTAGTTTCTTGAATTTTGATTGAGATTACATTCCTTGCTCTAGAATTTGTTGATTGATTGATTTTCTTTTTTATTAAGCTTTTAAATGAATATGTATGTGTTTTATTTCTTAACTTCACCATGATAAGTGAGTAGATTAGTTGCTAAGGAGAAGGGTAAGCATGCTTGATTGATGATTTTTGCAAGTTGGTGATACTAAATTGATTGGATTATTGCAATTAAATTGGTTGACATAGTTGTGCATGTGATTCATTGAACTAGGAGTGATCAACCTATAAGATTAATCTAGATTGCATTGCAAATTTCAATGACATGAACCCTTGATTTGTGAATAGCTTTAATTGATCGAATTTGATTGTGATTTCCCTTGTTAGCCATTCATAGTGAACCCTAGCTTGGCTTATAGGAGATAGCTTTTGGATTCCTTTGATTGCAACTAATGTTTGTCCTCTGTGATGTTGAATTGATTGAGTGATATATCACTTAGAATAATCATTGAGCTTGAATGTGGAACCTATATCCCTAGTGTTTAGCATATTGATTTTTTCGATTTGTCTATCTTCTTGTTACTTAGGTTACCAACCTCAACCAATTATATTCTTCAAATTAGCTTAACGTAGATTATAGCATCGTACCTACTCATTCCTTTGGTTTTGACCCTTTAGTTACCACGTACTTGTATAAGGTTGGTCGAGTGTTTACAAATTAGGTTTTGCTCAAGGGAGAGGTAGATAACGACCTACATTTTCCTCTTGTCAACCACATACGTATATAATGTACTATTGCGACAAAATAGGTAAGTTAAAATGCATATGCATATGTGACAGCGCTAATTAAATCGCAGGAATACAATTCAAGTATCTTTAAGTCTCATCCACTCATCTCAATTAAATACTGATCATTCAAATAAATAAATAACCAACAATCCTCTCCAATGGAGTCGCCGAATAGTAGGCGTTGCTCGAAACACACCTACGTGGGCAGGTGGTAAATATACTTGGCACTCATAGGAAGTGAGAATTGACATATACGATTAGGAACACGATTAGGGAAAAAGCAAAGTAGGGAGCAGCCAACAAGTTTTTATGGAACTTGTAAACAGTTCACGAATCATTAAAAGGGAACTGCGATAAGGGACAACAAAAGGAAACAACTATTGAGCCGTGAATGTTATGCCCCTTTTATAATTCATGAGATTATTAACTCTATATGGCTCGCAACCACGAAAGGAGGATCGGGAATGCTGGTACGAAATGAGTTATAGAGTCACATTCACCCGTATTGGCTCGATTCTTATAGTGAAAAGTAATTCCTGCAATCTCAAAGGCATACAAATAATATTTTATTTGCTCCAAACTAACATTAGGCTAAATTGGTTTAATTGTAATGCAACATAAATTTTAAAGTATCGTGATCACTTGATTAAACAACAAGATTAAAAAAGAACCTAAAGCGGTTGTCCAAATTATCTTATTAGTCGTGATTTTGATTTACATATTCCCTTCAAACATGCAATATGGTGATCATGACAATCGATATAATTAACATCAACATTGGAAAAAGTTAAACTATAATAATGTTGGTCAAAATAAATTAGTAATAGAGCTAATCATGATACTAGCAACAAGAATAAAAAAAAGAGTAATTAATAGATTTAACTACTCACGTTATGCGTTTCCTTAAATTTCTACATCATGAATAAATTTTTAGTAATTTCAATAAATAATAAATTTAATTTAATTTAAACTAAATAAAGAGTAGAACTGATTTGATACAAACCCTCAGTCGGTTCTACCTTTCACGCCTTGGTTTAAGTATAGAATTTTGGGTCAAGTATGGACTCCTTAGAGTGTTGGGGTTTGGTGAGTCCAACTCACCGCGGAAACAAACCTAAAACCAAGACCGCACTCGCAATAAATAAAACCATAAACATAAATAAATTACTCGCAAGATTAAGAACAAGATAATTACCTT